GTGCAGGAGCGGCCGCCGGCGCGGGGTCGTCGCCGGCGCCGGTGACACAGTGCGCGGTGCCGCGCGCTCCCGCGGGACCTTGCCCGGAAGCGGCGGACGCGCGGCAGCGGCGCGTTCCCGCCAGAGCTGCTTTGTTCCCCAAGGCCTGTGGGGGTGCAGCGACACCGGGGAAGTGAGATGAGCCCGGGGAGGGCGGCGAGCGCCGGGGGCACGGTCCGACACCGCTCCTTTGGCTACCGCGCCCGGAGCTCGGCCAACACCTTGACCGTGGCTCATTATTCGATGGATCCACGCTGAGGAGCTCACAGAAATCTTTAAGATGTCTTCTTTAGCTTTTCCTTTGCATTGTATGTGTATTCTTACTTTACAGAAGGGAGAATGATCTCAGAATATTTCAGACATTTACATTCTCACTGTTTGCTGGATGGCAGGAGGAATTTACAGTGAAAATAAGCAGTACTCGTTCAGACAGCAAGAATGAAAACACTCTGCTATTCGCTTACAGCGTGACAACACCACTGAGAGATCTGAACTAAGAGCGGGGTGGGCAGCCTAATTCACATCGCTGCTAAGAATGCACTTAATTCATTTTTTGTATCTCTGCTCCTACTTTGCAATCTGAAATTGCAGTTTTCAGTGTAAAAACAACTTACTGCCTCAAAACAGACAGGATACATGGGAAAGGTGGTCTAGACAGAATGCTGGCAGCAGAGAAATCAGGTAGCATTGTCTCAGCCCTTTGACACGGAGTATTAAATACCCCGTTCTGTATATCTGACATACATCTCCACTTTGTGTGTGGCATTGTTGCCTGATACTCGGTTGCAACAGAGGCCATTTAAGTTCAAAAAGTGGGGAAAAACATAACATGACAAAGCAGACAGTGAAATAACCTGCCATATAGAACTGCAGACTCTAAACCCACACCCATGTGGTAGAGCAGGGCTAGAACTGAACATGCCCGAGGTCAGCTGAGACCAGGTTACAGACAAGGGTATTTTCAGCCCCATTTCCCGCAACAAGGAAATGTCAGATGAGCCAAATGTGTGCTAGAAAACATGACATGCTGGGGGTTAGGGACATGACAGGGAATTACAATAGTAAGGCAATGCATTCTTACAGCACTACCAGGTATTTGCAGCTCTTACAATAAAAAGAATCTCTACAGTCACCTAATTGAATTACCTCAATAATGCAGAAAACTGAGATGCCAGACCCTTTTAATTCAAGTCATATCCTGACACACTTGGCAATGTGACATCTGGCAAGTTTCTCCCTCTAACCCTTTGTTCCATTCAGTTACTGTCACCTCTAAATTAATTTCCTGGATGCACAAATTAGGAGCACGAGAGTACATGTGACATACACTACAACTGTGTTTTGCTGAAAGCTTTGCAAAGATACTATGGGCACAGCTGAGAAGCCATGTCTATCTAAAATCAAAGCTTTTTGCTGTACTGATACCACCAGCCACGTATAAAAGCAGAATTCACATGTTCCCACTGGCTTTCATGGGCTGCCCCGGAATCAGAAGCAATGGAAGCAGCAGACACTAGCACAGAATTCTTTCCAAGCTAATAAACCATGCAAACAATGGAAAGTTAAAGATGTGAAGTTACCCCATAAGCTACATGTTTTAGATGGGCTGTGATTTTGTTTTATTCAGGTTATCATCTTTGATATCCTGACTAATTACAAGTTTTCCAGGGGTTTTTTTGCACCCTTCTGTTTTAAGTTTGTAATGAGGAAGAGCAACAAAGTTGCTATACACAGTATAGGTACAGAAACAAGAAACGTTTTGTTTAAAGGTAGGGCAAGGTTGTCCATTATTGATTCCACTGGAGTCCTTGACATTAGATGGGGCAGATTTTTCCACCTGAAGAATTTAAGATAAATAATAAATCCTTTGCTAAAAAACATACTGTTGTCCACCAACTTCATGGAATGATTGCGCAAATTTCCTTACCCTGTGTGATGCAGTAGAGCAGACTAGATAATGAGAAGATCGCCTTCAACTTCAAAACCAATAAACTTACATTTTGGTTCTAGAGACTGAGCCAGAGGAAAGGTACTGCAGTAAGCTTCAGTCTCATAACACATCTACAAATTCTTCCAAGCAAAAAGTTGATTTTTTTCTTTAGGACTGTTTACAACTGTCTCTGATGTGCCACCTAGAATTTCAGTGGCTATCATTATCAGTCCAGTTCATATCTGGAGCCACAAGAGAATGTGCCTTATCTAGGCAAAGCCATATTTGGGCCTGTTTCTTCAAGAAAAAAAAAGATCAGGAAGGAAGCTGCCTTGACAAACAACTAAAATTCAGTTAAATTTCAGAGGATGGAACATTTGCAATTACTTTGCTTTGTGTAACACTATTGCTAATGTAAACAGTGATTAGAACACAAAACTCAATGTAATATCTGTATTTGAAAAGACATGAAAAATAAGAGTCAAAAACTGTCACAGAGATGGTTGTCACGTAACACTGACAGGTTAAAGGTGACTGGCAGACATGTAATTCAGGCTGCCTGGGACGGCTCCTATATTTTAAGTGGTCAGTTAGTTCAGGTAGAAAAATGAGGTGCTTCTCCAGCAGCAAGATGACTGAATGAACCTTGCTCCTCTCTCCATACTCCTTGGTTTAGAAAAAACATTCAGTTTCCGGAAACATGTAATGTTCCTTTTAACATCCTTGTTCCTCATTAACGCACCGTCTCTTGATCCCTCCATCCCTCAAGTGTTTCACTGCAGTGAGGTTTGCAGACAGTGCATACGGAGAACAGAGGCATGACAGGACACAGGACAAAAGCTGGTCATGTGGCTTTGTCTAGATCTATGATCTATGTGTCTATGTGTCTAAGTCTATGATCTGTAAGTAAGATCTATCAACTTACCAAACTTTAAGTACAGGCCCCCATCTATTTGACTTTTCAAAAGCAGAGAATACTAGATATTATTAGAATCAACAAAAAACAGGCAGCCAGATCATCTCTGTAACTTCTTTCCAAATTAACTGCCACTTTGAATGGGAAAAAGATGTCAAATGGGAGTTTCCAGTGCACTTGGGGCTGGCCTCGTGGAGGTTCGGGCCATTCTGTCATGTCAGTGAAGGTGACAACAGTTGTTAAAGGTACCACGCTTGTGTTTAGGAACTGTAACAAGAAAGAAAGCACGAAGAGCTTAGCAAGCTAAATACAAGAGACACATCTCCTTGATTTTCTAATGGAAACCCACTGTAGGCAACTGGCAAGCAAGGTGTCTTCAGAATGGTAGGAATTAAGTGCTTCAGATACATATCTTTAGTGGAGTAACCCTGCTTCCCTAGGATTGATACTCATTATGTAAATCGAGGGCACAGGTCTCGGGAAAGATCAGTAGCTACTGTGCATCATGTGTTACAGATCTCCAGAATGGAAGCAGTGACTCAAGCTCTGCTAAAGTAAGTCTTCTATTCAGAGGAAAGATGTATCAGCTAGTGGGTAACAAGAACATAAGCAAAGATAGCTTTATTTTTTATAATTATAAAATTATAAAATTATAATTATAATTTTATAATATATTATTATATATTTTATGTAAGATAAGATCATCTGGCCCTTTGAACAGGTGATTTCTGCCAGAAACAGAGAGGACTGCATCAAGATTTGATCCTTTCAATAAAATATCAATAAAATAAAGCAAGGACCCAATACAACAACTAATTTCTCACATTTTAGGATAGTGTTTCAGAAAGGAGACAGATGGGTAGGTCAGTTAGTAAAGACAGAACTGAGGACTTAACTTCTAAGGCCTCAGTTCCTTTCTGTTTCAACAGAATGCTGTAAGACAATACACTGGCTCCTTGAGCTGTGTGGAGTTTCATTGCTAGCTTGGGCTGACTTAAGACCATGCCACTGCCAAAAGAGCAGCCTCACTCCCTGCCCCAGCCTCCCAGCTCTGCACACTAACCTCGAGAGAGGGATCTACTGGCAGCATACCTCCTGCACTTGCAGTGGTTTAAGCCAATTTGAGAAATCACCATTGCATTCACTTCCCTGGAAACAATCTGGGACATTGCTTGCCTTTAGAGCAAAGCTGTGCAGGAAACATTCAAAAAAGTTCCAAGACAGAACTTATGACTCTTAAAGAGAAAAATACGAGATTCGTGTTAGGGAATTTTTGTGGTACCTCTTGAGGCAACTTAAAAACACTTTTGTGCTTAAACATAAAGAAAAATGTAATAAACAATGCATTGGGCAGACTCCAATCATCATACATGGTTCTACATGGAGTCTGCAAAGACGCATCATGAGCGGATTCCTTATAATCACTTGCACCAGCCCCAGTCCCGAGAGCATCAGCATCACCTCAGCCCAGCTGTGGGTCCATCCCCAACCCAGCTCTGCTGTCCAAAGGCGGCCCCTGAGCTTGTGACCCAGAGTGTTCCCATTCCAGGATGGCTACAAGATAATGCTGAGGCTGTTTCTTATCTCATGGCCAAGGGAAACTTCACTCCCTTGCAAGGAATCTGTCTCTGGCATCCCTGGTTCCAGTCATTTTAACCTCTTGTTGCAGTGGGGCCTTCTTGCCCTCCATGCCAGATCACAAATTACCACTGCTGAGTAGTTACAATCGGAATCTCCACCCTCGGTGGATATAAATTCTCCTATCAAGTAAACAAACACATAGTAGGCACAATTGCCCGAGTCAACAAGAAGCCTCAAAATGACTCTGGACTTTCAAAATCTGCCTTAAAATCAGAGATTAGTGGGGAAGAAACCCCATAGACGACCCCTCCTCAACAGCTGGCAGAAGGCAGCCACAAGCAACACCCTGTATAGCTCAACATCACTGAAGACCATCTTGTATTTTCAGGAAGTCCAAATACAACTGTGACCAGATACTGTGGGTGGGTGTAGGAAATGGGATGTCTTTCCTGGATTCTGTGTTTTCTGGTCAGTCACTAAAGCAACTCGCCAGTGAAACAGCGTGGTCTAAAGGAAAAGGTTTTCTCTCAAAAATGAACAGTTCTTGGATAGAGAATCTGTAGGCTAGAACTAGGAATTGACATAATTTAGAAGTAAAGATATATACAGCACACATTGGTGATCTCACTGATACGCTTGCAAATGGCTGTAATTCTTAACTGCTGGGTACAGTACTGACTGGTACCTTTGCTGAAATGTCTTTACTAACAACCCTAATTTGTGGATTGTTACTGATGAGATCGGGTCTGATTTTATCTGTCTTCTTTTCTTGCTGGAAACTTGCTTTATCATTGGATTTGCAATATACCTTACATCTCTAAAGTAACTGGCATCCATTGCTCAAACTGATGAAATCTGAATCTCACAGTTCTAGATTGGCTAATCCTTACATGCACTTTTACTAGCCTAATCCTGTCCCCTGCACTTTTACTAGGAATGCAAGTCTCCCTCCTCATACAGAAGTGTTGTTAATGGAGCCATGTAACAGCTCAGATTTAGAAAATATTTTTGTGGGGCAGGGGTGTCCGTTTGCCTCAGGGCAACATGTTTTACACAGTGAACATTTTCCTATCATGTTCTTTTCATTTATGTTGCAAGGAGAGAGGACTAAGAGGTACCATGAGACACATCCAAGCAAGTGATGTAAAATCTCATTTAGACTGAGTCTCAAAGAAGAAACTGGGTCTCAAAGTTCAAAGAGTAGTAACAGATCAGACAGATGCTTGCTTTGTTGTACCTCACTGCCATGAGAACGCCATGGGCAGGTGTCAGCTGTTCCCCCTAAAGCCCTGGAAGAGCAGTATAAGCCTTGAAATACATGTGCTGCCCAAAAGACTTTCTGAAGTCAGGAATCCAGTCCTGCACCAAAATGGGATCCACTGACACATGCCTGAAAAAGACTATTCATTCTCTTTTGAGGACCTGTTAGCTCCACCTTCCTGCTAACATCATAGAATAGTTTGGGTTGGAAGGGACCTTCAAAGGTCATTTAGCCAAACCCCTCTGCAATGAGCAGGGACATCTTTGGCTAGATCATGTTGCTCAGAACCCCATCCAACACAGTCTTGAATGTTTTAGTCATGTACTCTTCTCTTATAATCTGCTTTCTGGCTTACACCCTTTCCCCCTAATTCTTCAAATCAGCTATCATCAGCACTAGCCTCTTCCCCAGCTACCTGTTGGTGATTTCAGAACCCCTAGAGGAATAGAAATATTTTCTTGCACATATTATCAGCATACTGTGGAGTCTGTCAAATACATATCAACTCAAATTCCCTATCAAGGCTTTAAGAGACAACTAGATAAACATAGAGTTATTTAATGCTTCTAACTACTACTTTATACTGAGCATAATTAAAAGTTTAAAGTTTGAGTCCTTAAGTGGCAGAAGGCGGTTTGGGGCTAGAAATAAGGTACCTTTTCCAGTTGTACAACTGATTAAGGACAGTACTGGTAAGACCATAAAACCACCTTCTTCTATGGAGCTGTTAAATACAAACTCTTGCTATTGCATCCAGACCACTGCTAAAATTCAGTAAATCCCAACTTAGTAATGTCAGGACCATTTCATTCCTTGGTTCTTAAATAACCTGTGAATCCCATTTAATTACCACTGTGTATGAGGGAGGGGTTTTAAATTCCATACCTTCAGGGGCTGACACTGATAAAGGTACCGTGCACCCAGTATTTGAGCTTGTGGGTTGGACAGAAGGCCCACCTTAGACCACAATATCTGTATCTCCAGGGTCACAGGAACCATGCAACAAGAAGTGCAATTCACAACCTGAAAAATAAAACATACGCCAAACATCTTAACACAGTATTTTGAAGGTGAAAAATGGCCATTACGGTCGAAGTCTAGTATTTTGGATAGCATAAGTCACAGAACCGGAATCAGTTGCTTCTGCACCAACCCTATAACTTCTGGTCAGGTCAACCACTCATTTTAGAGCTACACCCATCTCACCATCATCTCATTTCAAAACAGAATTTGCATCAGCTCTACCACTTGAATATTGCATTCTATTAGGCCATCTTCTGACAGATTAATATATATTAAAATAGAACTTCACTTCTCCATTAGTACTTGGATTGCAAACTTTTACCCTTATTAGGTAACATATAAATATCCCTAGAAACTGGAAAATCAGAAAGGAAGCTAATAGTAAAACCATTAAATTGATAGGAATTAACCAGGCAATATTAGTATGAGAAGTCTGTTAGAAAAATAGGTAATACAACACTGGATTCAGTATTAAACTCTTTTTGCCCATTTAAGTAGCAAAATCAGGATTCAAGAGGTATTAAATGATAGTGGGTTGTTTTTTTTTGTTTACTAAGTATCCTAATAATATGTAGCAAAATAAGAATGACTGCTTACAGACACTAAGACCCCTGAAAGTCTGTAGATTGTCATACAAAGACAGTAAGGCCAGACGAACAAGCTCGTTCTTTTTTTCACATGCCTATGCTTCCCAAGGCAATACAAAGACATGAAAGGAAAAATATTCACAGCTGGTCTTTTTGCATTTGTATTACCTGCACGCTGCAGTTCTGAATCAGAATGGTTGTCCACTCTTCTGCCCGGGTTGAGTGAGCACTGCCAGTTATAGCAAGGTCCTCCGCTTTTTTCATTCCCTGAAGAGCATGGTACAACTTCTGCTGGATGTAATTACAGTTATTTTCTTCCAGTATTGGTGACAGGCTGGAAATGAGAAAATAACAGCTTTAATAAAGTGATTTCCAGGACAAAAAACCCCCACATTATCAACATCCTTCTTTTGTAATGAGTATTTCTTCCACTCTTGTAATGAATCAACAGAATCATTACTAAAGTATTGGTATTAAATGGATGCAGTCTCAATCCCCTCCGCAATGAAAAGCAAGAACATGGCAGGGTAGCGCTTGATAAGGAAAACTGTCAGCTCCTTAGCCATCTTGTCACATCAGCGGTCATATACCTGCCCTGTCACCAACAAAAGAATGATCCAAATCATCAATCATTTTTATGGTTCCATTATAATTCACTCCTCAAATACAAACTCTACTCTTGCCCAAGACATGCTGGCAGCCTACAGCCTCAAAACATCCTAGAAGACTTTCAGTGTTCAGAATGTTCTCCAGGTCCACCACCTCTGACATTCAAGTCCTCTTAAGAGTATATGAGAGACTCACTGGGAAGGACCTAGGCTCCACAGCACTGTCTTGAGAGACTAAGGAAAAACATGCTATGTGGGTCCACACCTTCCAAATGTGTCAGGAAGGGTGACTGCAGAGGGTGTTGTTACCTGAGCTTGCAGCCTGTCCTCGTATTTCTTCCAAACTGTACTGTGTATCTGTGGAACTGTGAGCAACTTCCATCACCTTCACTCCACAAAATGCTCATCTAACTGCATGTCAAGAAGCCAGACAAAAGCATAAACAGACAATACAGGACACCCAACTTGTATTTAATAATCCTTTCACCCCACATTCCTCCTTATCCCTATCACAGGACTACAATTCAGTCATGACCGGAAAGGCCCTCTGATGGCTGCAATGTAATACTGAGGTGTATCCTCACAGGTCAAGGTAGAATCTCTAAAGTCCAGGCAGTAGGGCACCAGATGTCAATAAACCCAGTGAGAAATAAAACTTGATAGCAGAGAAAGGATACATGCTGCATGGCACCACTGTCTGCAATCAACAGTGGTGCTCCAGTGATGTAGCCAGGGTTTCCACTTCTAGGCAACATATGAGAAAGAGTCCTGGTCTACAAGGGGAAGAAAGAAAGGAGGAGAAAAACATTATCACTAACGAGATCCATTCATCTCAAAATCAAATTCACATTCTCAAACATGTAAATGTAACCCAGTTTTTGAATGACTGAATATTATGCACTACTAAAACCTCCATTATTTGTTTCCAAACCCTCTTTCTTACCTGGCCATCTGCAGTCCACAAAGTAAAAAAACTAAACGTCAGTCCCCTGAAATGTGGATGCTACCTGGACAGTTCTTGGGATGATGAATCATATTGCTCAGCATTTGTCTCTAAGGAAGTGAACACATCAGTCTGGGCAATTCTACAGATGATCTGCAGAACAAACCCTGCCCTGATCCTGATTCTGAGCAGCAGATTCCATTTCTAAATTGTTTTATGGGGAGAGCCTCTGGGGATGACTTCAGCAAGGTTGTGCTGTACACTTACCAACCCGAGGTCACCACTTACTCCACTTTACACTGCCTCTGTGGGACAACACTTATATGAACTTCAACACACATTAGTATTTCCCAGATTTCCACCCCCTGCAAAGTAACTTTGTTCACAAATACTGAACACCTCAGATACAGCACCAGCTCCAACCCTTTCCTTCACAAACCCATGCTGGTGACCCTGATGTCATCCTCTCCCCTTCTCTCCTCCACAAAAAAAAAAAAAAAAAAAAAAAAAACACCACCAAAAAATAATCAGATAAAAATAATCAGCTCCTTCAAACATGTACAGTGCAAGACTGCATGCTTGCACCGAGCCTGAATTTTTCTACTAACATGATTTACCTGAGAGCAGAGCAGATCCCCCTCCTTCCTTCGACCGCCAGCTGCGTCCCAGGGTTCTGGTACTACCATACCACAGTAACACTGCTCTAACCTTTTCCCACCTCATCTGTACAAAACTGGGTCACAAACTACAGCCTGCAAACTTGATAAGTGCCTGGGGAGGATGGGGGCACTGACCCAGAAGTGCAAAGTGAAGTGCTGCTGTAGAGATGATCCTGAATTCCCAGAGATGTTGCTCACTTTGAACCGGACAGAAACACTCTGAATCCCATGTGTGCCACTGAATTCTATCTCGTAGATCACCTGAAAGTCCAATTCAGAGAAGAATCGGAGTCAGAGTCAGGTAATAGGGCAATGACTTTAAGCTAGTGTTGAGCTGTCCATAGGAAGGAAGATTCAGATACCTCAGAAACAACATTGTTACATGTGTTGTCTTTCATGTGGGGAGCTCCAGGAGGTGCAACTGCTGCGACCTTTACCTAGAGAGTAAGCATACTAACAATTAGCAGATGTTTAAAAGAAGTGTGCCTTTCTTACTCTTTTTCCACTGCTTTTTCATCCAAGTCAGGTTCCTGGGGAAGCTGTGATCTGTGAACACATCACTCTCCTCCAGATGCCAAATTTTTTCTAAGAAAATAAGCTACCTCTGTGACTCTAGCCCTATCTACACCCATTCATTTAAAAGTACATCTTTCCTTTTATCCCAATTTTTTTCTCTATAATGTCACACTTTTGCCCAAAAAATCTTGTCTCAGACACAACATTCCCATTCTTCCAAGTTCCCAAACCATGGGCATTACTATGGATGCCCAAGATTCCCGATGAGTTTTATTTCAGAATCAAAAATTATTTTTATGGGCAATAGAGACTGACCTTCATGGACTGCACTATGGTGTCATTAATTGGGACCTGGAGAAAACAAAGAAAACAACATGCAACACCAAAAAGCCAACTGATTTTCTGGGTTTGCAAGTGCCTAAAGTCATGAAACCATCCCTAAATAGAGCCTACATATTATATTGACAAAAATTACTTTGTTTATTCCAGACGTGCAAAACTTGTCATCAATTTGTGATCTAGAAATCACAGACATAATCTACAGAAAGCATTTTTAGAGCATCAGAAGACAAGTTTTATTCTTGTCACTGATCTGCAGAATGCAAATAATTTAAAGTATCAGCATCTTTGATCCATTCCTGGAGCTTCCTCTTCTGAAATCAGACTGGTTTGGGTGGGAAGGAACTCTGAAGATCATCTAGTTCCAAACCCCCTGCCATGGGCAGGGACACCTTCCACTAGACCAAGTTGCTCAAAGCCCCATCCAACCTGTCCATCCAATCAAGTAATCAAGTAATTACTTCAGCTTCCATTTAAGGAACAATTAAATTTTGGTCACAGTGACAAAAAGAAAAAAAAAAAATCCCGAAAACATGAGTTAAATGTGATCAGTAGAAGACTCTCTACTAGTTATGTAGATTTAGATTTCCAGTGTAAGGGTAAACCGAGTCATTAGCCTTAATGAGGTGTTAATATTTACACTGCAGTTTTATCTTGGAACAGCAGAGAAGCTCTAGAAGGCAAGAGGAGATATTCTCATGTTCACATACAGTAAAACCAACACGATGAAGCCAGAACAATAAATCGATTATTATGAAATTATTGTCAAAATAAATAATGGGGAAATTGATGTGGAATTCAATCTATGAATGCACATAGAGCTAACATTGATAACTGGCCTTCAGTATGATTTTGGAGATAACGTGTAAGACAAATCCCCATTCTTTACTAAGAACATGCATTGCTTGTTTGATCAAGTTGATGGAACAGATAGAAATACTTCGATAAACAGTCTGTTTAAAGTGTGAGAGAGTCCTAGTTAAGCCATTAAAACTATGAAGTATCAATGAAGTACCTGTTAAATGCATTAAGAGTTTGCTAATAACTGAAATTTATGGGAAAGTAGTTTGGATTGAGGTATTATCACCAATCATGACATTTTTAACAGGATTTCCAGCAAGAAGTTCTTAACAATCGGGAGATCAGGGATGACATACCAGATGAACTTTAGTTTTCCAGTTAACTGAAGTTGCAATGGAAGCAATGAATAGTCAAGCAAATAAGATGTTGAGCAAAAGGAAGAAATACAACACGCACCTTTAGCACAGTGAAGTCACGGTAGTAGGAGGCAGCATCCAGGACAGGGTCAGTAATGCAGCTCTTGCTCAAGTTGGCAAAAATCCGAGTACAGCTTGTGCTTTTACTGTCCAGGAAGCCTGAGTTAAGACATGACAACAGATAAAACAGAAGCAAACCACCCTAGGAAATCCTTCCCCTTTACTAACCAGCAGGATTTCCATCAGCACAAAGTCCACTGGCTCCCATTTTTACTGGCTGTCTAAGCGTGCTCAGTACAGACAATGAATCAAAGTAGATTAGGATTGGATCTCCAGCCTGAAAAGACAATTTGGAGAAATCACAAAGTGACTCTGGAATACTAAGGCCAAGCACAAGGTGAGGACATCATCAGGGCATAGAGGCAAATTTATACTTCTCCTTAGAGTACACCCAGTTTTGTATAAAGGGTTGTCCAAACTTTTAAATACAGGAAAACTAATCAGAAACTTTTTGCGTAATAAAGGACAAAACAACTTGAGGGATAATATGGATTATAGGTAGAAAAATAAGAATCTTCTGACCTGTTCTCATTAGTTCTCATTACAGATAGCTTTAATAAAAGTGTATCTGCAAACTAATTGCTATTTTCTTTCAACTCACCCGGTAAAAGGCAGAGAATGATGGCTGGACTTCTGATGGTGCTAAGAAAGAGTGTTTGGCATACTTCTCTGTGAACTTTGAAAAATCAGATTCTTTGATACCCTGCGGCTGTTGGAAATAGTTCAGCTTTGCTAAAGGTTGAAAAGAGGAAAAAAAAAAATCCACCAATATAAAATTACCAGAAAACATAAATCTAAGAAAAAATATTGTGCCAATATTTTTAAAAGGAACAACTTGAGTAATTATAAGGTAGATAGTACCTTATATTAATTAATCCATAGTAACACTGCTAACAGGCTAATATGAGCTGTAAACAGGATTGTATCATGAGCACTATTTTGTAGTTTCATGAGAAACGGGTGCTAATACATAAATATGACTTTCCAGAAAGCATGAAAACTGCTTAAGACAACTATCTTGATATGTTCTCCCATTTCTGTAAGATGCCCAAATTAGGCACACATGACATTTTAATGACAAAACATTACCAATAGGTGAATTCACTAAAAGCAACGTTTAACAGATTCAAAATAATTAAGGCTGGTAAAACTCAAAGTAAGTATGAATAGAATAAGCATCCGAAAAACCCAGACTTTCTATTGGTATCCTGCAGTGACACCCTCCTGACCCAGTGGTATTCAGTATGGTAACAGTGTGTTAAATTATTACTGCTAGAACACTTAGTCATAAAATGGCAAATTATTAAGGACATACTATGTAGACTCATCCTAATAGACCGGTTCAAACAACAAACTTCTTAACACAGCCAAATAAAACATCGTACAAAGTTTGAGGACTACAGATCATATCAACAACAGGAATGAGTGGCAGTATCCTTGATTACAGCAGTACCAAAAAGAATTTAGGTAGTCTAGTAGGTTGGAGGGGGGGGGAGGAACCTAACTTGAACTCTCAGTGTAATTCTGCTGTTTGAGAGCAGAGCTGATCCTCAGATGTACAGAGCAGCAAGCAGAAATAAAAGCTATTTTATATCTGAAGACAGCATTAGTCAGTCAGTTAATTAAATCTTTTAAGGAGATAAAAGCCATTAGTATGGAGTATTAAGCTCCTGCAAGGTTCACAAAACCAGGTATACAGAGCAGCTTAACATTATTCACTTGAGGATATAATGATTAGACTGAAAAAGAAAACACTCAGAGTTGTGCTACTCAGAACCATTTATTTTCTTCATGTTCTTTATGTGCAAAATACACCTGAAAACTGGAAGGCCTCCTGCAGCAAAACTTGAAATATTCAAACTGCTTAAGTTTTCAGAGAAAAATGTATATAGAAGTTGTTCATAGTGTAGTTTCCTCAAGAAAGCATGTTTGCTATAAAGACTATTTAATCTCGTAGAAAAAGGCAAAAAAGAACACTAGGGTCTCTCTGGAACTGTAACAGCCCAAATAATCAGTAACAATTATAACACGTAAGTTTAAAAGGAGATTCCCTAAGCAGAGGCAAGCTATGAATTAAACATGTGGAAAGAAAGGTTACTTACAGTCATCCAGCTGCACACAGAACAGATCATGTCCATCAGGCACAGCAATGGTGTCAGTAGGGTAAGGGGTGTTACTTCTGAACATCAGCGATTTTTCCACACACATTTGACTCACGGCCCTGGAAAGACAAGCCCTCCCCACCCCAAAAACTGGTAAAGAGGCTATTTTTGTGTAATTTCATATTTTACATCACTAAATGTCAGCAACAGAACACAGTATTACTTTTCATCAGCTTACATGAGTTAATTGAATAATTTGCACTGATAATCAACTACAGAGAGCCTATCTTGTCACTGTAGTAACTTTGTGGATACTCTGTATATTTAGAAATCACTCTAGAATTCCCTGGAACAAAAAGCAGTAAAGAAATTCAGTGTCCACATAGTACAGCTTCTCTCAGTCCTCCTTACAACTGCAGTCTGCAAAGACAGGGTTCACCCACGGATTTTGCTCCCCAAATAGCTAAAGCTATCTCCCCCACTGACAGCATCTAGCAGTCTGTAACTGTTGTGCTGTCTCCCAACTGTATATTAAAGTTCTTTTTTCCTTTGATAAGACTTTCTAGCTCCCACTGCAAACATCACAGAGTAATCAAGCCCTGCTTTATCGCAGCCATTAAAACGCTGGCCTCGGTAAGGTTTTTCAAGCCCAGACTCGGAATCAAACTGTGCCACGTGCCCGAGAGGCGCGGAAAACGAGTCGGCGAGACTAACGCGGCTAAACCGCGATTCGTGCTGGGCGCGGAGGGAGCCCGGCCTCCGCCCACCTGCTGCCGCCGGCGAGGCGGGACGAGCCGGCAGCCC